CAATCCCCTCCCTTGCCCAGCTGGTGATGCTGTGTCTGATGTCCCCAGGACATGGTTGCCCCTGTTGGCTGTGTAAAAGTGATGGGGACTTCTTGGCAAGCTTCTAATGCCACCTATCCATTCTTTTTTAGTATCTACACCTCATCCACTGACTTAATGTTTACCTCACTTTAGCACAGCTCTACTTCCTATTGGCACTCTTGGCAAAACAGACAAGTTCTGGAGCTGCAATACAGACCCAGCAGAGAACCTGGAAGCAAAGAATGGAAAGGCAAAAGCATCTTTCACAGTTGTTTCTTCCTTCTCCTTGAAGCAGAACAGGGATGAGGAGAAGAAAGTGGCAAAACAATTTTAAAAACAGTTTTGATTTTCCACCAGCTGAAATGATGCAGGAACCAGCCAGCTCCCAGTGTAGTCATTTATTCTCTAAAAAAAGACTCCATCTCCCTTCTCATTTCTATTCTTCCTTCTCTGGCAGATTGTTTTGACCTCATTCTGATTTGCCATGCAACCACATGAACAGCTGTACTGATGCAGCTCATACAAAAAGAAGTCTCATGCAAATGGATTAGATAAATACAAGGACTACTGTGACAGTCAAATAAAAAGGAATTAATTTCACCATTACTATAATGAGTGCACAAAGACCTTCCCTTACCCCAAAGGTAGGCAAAGCTCTAGTGGCTTTCCATATTTTATCACTCTATTGATTTTCCCTTCCAGAAAACTCTACTATAGTAAAATATCCTGAAAATGCTTTTCTGAAGGAAAAGCTAGCAGCAGTGAAATCAGGCCAGGCTAGGGGAACTTTGCTTCCAAAGCAACAACAAAAAAGCTACAGTACACAGGGCCATGGAGGGAAAGAAGCTCTCGCTACAAAAGCATCCCTAGAGCAAAGTCACTGTACTATGGGTCTGTGAGACCTGCTGGGGCATAATGAGAACACACTTCTGCTAACAAATCACAGACAGCAGAACAACTACCCCTTTTTTACCTCATTTTACATGGCATCTATAACTTCCCTTTCAGTTTCAGTATTTCTATTCAGTTATTTTTGCTGCCATTTCTTGTTTTGCATACGTGACTTCTTTCCATTTCACCACAGATTTCCAGCAAATAAGACCATATGCACTACCATAGCAACATTTTAATACAAACACAGTGTAATCTTTGTTCACTGAAGTACACAGTTCATTTCTTTTTCTCTTATTAACAGAACCTGCATCTGCATACAGTTTAACTGAATGTCATAGCAACAACATAAACATCAATTCAAGATATTTTTTCCTTTGGAGGGCAGAAGAATAAATGTTTTCAGGAAAAGAGTGTGGGACTTCAAGCAGAATGAAATGTTTGTGACTAAACAGGGCCTGAAGTTACATCATCAGGGCTGTGTATTTACACTTGGAAAGCTTGCTCTTGCACAGTGTTATACATTCTCAGCTCCTACAGATGTCAACAGAGAACAGCCCTATCTGGCAGGGCAAGGACTGAATCCCAGCCATGCTGATACACAGCACATAGCTGGGACTTGCTATCAGCACTCCCATGAACTCAGAAACCCAGGTCCTGCTTCAGACTGGAGTGCACATTCTGCACCGAGTTTTCCTCTAATGCAGAGTAGAACTGCACTGGTAACTGCAGTAACAAAACCAGGTCCAGCATGCCTCCAAGGACCAGTGCCAGCCACACATTCTGTGGCATGACCCTCTTTTCCTCCACGGATCAACAATTCCTAATGCCAAGATAAATGCAGCAAAACTCAGAATTCCAATGTGCTCATTCAAAACTGAGCTGTTCCACTGACAGGGGATACAACTGTTTACCCATGACAACTCAATTATGCCTCATCTCCCCAGGAAGTTCTACAAAAAAGGAAAAGAACCAAGTTCTCTCCCATGGCTGAGTCAGTCCTACTCCCCAGCTATTGCTGTGTGCTTAGCTATGCTCTATTTTTGTCCTTTAAGGTTTGTGAAAGGGATGACATCATTAAGCTTTTAATTTTTTTAAGTAGTGTTTTCATTCAAGACAAGAGCCTTTACTCTTTGTAAGCTGATAGTCCTTCAGCTCAAGCATGTTGAAAAGTCTAAACATTAAAAGAAATGCTGTAACAACACTACACAGAAATAGCTTGTTCCTTCTGTGACAGTTTACAGAGGAAAATAAATGAGTAAGCATAGTAGGCATAAAATCAAGCACTCAATGCAAGCTGGTGTTGAATGACGAAGATTAAAACAACATCACACAGTTCTCATTCACAGACATGATCTGTTCTGAATCAAGGCAGAGTCCTGTAGGGATGTGTGTAATAGGACTACAATAGTATGTTTTCAAAATGGACAGAATGGAAGCCCTCTAGGAAGCCTCAGCTCCATGTCTTAAATTTCTAGTTCTTGACCAGAGATTTAAAAAATACAGAAGATGCTTTTTCTCTCTTCTGTTTATTACAGTGTGCCTGTTCCAGGTTAGGTCACTCAAAAAAAAAAAACAACTAAAAAAAAAAACCCACACCAAAAAACAAAACAAAACAAAACAAAACAAATTCAACTTTCCTTCACTGCCTATGAAAGTGTTAAAAAACATCTGCCTCCTAGCACAACATTGCATAAACTGATTAAACCAAGAACCTCATTATTATGAAGAATTATGACTAATATGAAGAATTTTGATTTCTTATTATAAAGAAAAATTGAAAAAGATTAGGAAACCTGAATAAACTATTTTAATTGCATTTTGATTTGTATTTGCTCAATCACTTCTGTTCAAACTAGTGTAATTGTAAAAATAGGCAAGCAGTAACCTAGTTTGAAAGAATGGCAAATGCTACCTTCAGTTTGACTGAACTCTGGGAGATTATTCCCAGCCTGGTCTGGGAAATTTCAGTTCTAGTAACCATCACAGGAATAATGTTTTAAAGCCTTCTTTAAGGTAAATCTGAAGGACAGATTTAACAGCATCTTCATTTCAAAATTTATTATGTTGTGTTTTGACTCACAAGGAAGCTTAAAGTAGATTTATATAAGAAAAAAACCCCACAGGCAAACCCTTTGGTACAATTAATGAAAACCCCCAAGAGCACAGGAAAGTAATGCAAACGACAAATCTGTGCTCCTCAGCCAAAGACTGATCACACACACATGCAGATCAACACTACTACTTGCAGCACTCCCATTTTCACTGTGCTCTGGATCCAACAGAAGTGCCATGCTTTTCCTGCAAATGAAACATTTTCTGGGCAATGAACTGTGGCAGTTTTGCTATTCATCTCTTTTATTGGTATTACTATGAATGAGTTCAAGACTCGTCTATAGTAATTTGTGGCTACCAAGTCAGTGTGCAGCAATCAGTGATTAGGAAAAGCTTATTCACTTTCACTGAACTGAAAAAATATGAAAGCAGCACCTATAGCTAGGAATCCTGGTCCTTTAAAAAGGGTTAAAAAAACAAATGTTGAAACAAGAGGTGGGCAGAGGACCAACAATGACTAAGAAAGAAAACAGAGCACAGGTGGCTACTGCCAGGCGAGAAGAAAAACCTTCTGTTTCATCAGAGGTTGCAAAACACACAAGAGAAAGGACACATGATACCACTGGGAGAAAAAGTAGTATGTGACTACAAAGGTCTGATGCTCTGGCCAAACTTCAGTAGTGAGCTGTCATTGTAAACAATTTATTAACTCCAATTCCTTTACAAGGGAAAAAAAACCCTTCTAAAACTTTGAACATCTCAGAAATCCTGTCCATGCAGCATGGCTGGTGAGGGCCCAGCAGCCTGGTGCCCTGAACCCCAGACTGAGGGTACAGAAGCCTAAACCCTCTCTTGCACTGCTCCCCCAGCCTCCTGCTACCTCCAGAAGTTCCTTGACTGCTTTCTGTTGTGTTTCAACCCACAAGATCAGCACTGGCAGAAGAAGACATGACTGAAATACCACCTGCATGGCAATTCAGCACACACCCCAGGCCACCAGCACACCGAGGTGCTTGTCTCCAGCAGGAGACAGAGCTGGGAACTATGAGGCAGCAACACCTCAGAGAGCTGTTTAGAGTGAACATCACCTGAAGACAAATGCTGCCTTGGCCAGAGCCCTGCAAAAGCAAGGCAAAGGCTGATGCTGATTCCTGAGAACGCCCTGGTCAGTGGGGAGAGGGGCTCACCTGGCTTGCACCACTTGGGGCATTGCTGTTCTCATCCTCCACAGAACCCACAGGGGACTTGGACACAGGACAGCTGGTCTGTGCTCTAGGAATCTTTGCAGAAGTTAACAACTGTCAGCAGACAATACAGTACAGGAATTTGTTTCCTTTATGATTTGTTTTTAAGTAGGTAAATGTAGCTGATATTCCAGGAAGTATTTACAATAACTAACTGCACCAGGTACTAGGAATATGAGATGCATAACACAAGCATTCTTTAGAAGTCCAGTGTTATTTGCATTAGTGCCAGTCTATGCATCGATTTCTAGGGATATAAAAACTCATGCTAATTTAGAAGACCTGGAGAGAAGACCAAACACACTTGCAACATGCCACCCTGAAAACAGTCTGACCTCTCCATTAACACATGGAACAAGATGCAACCAAGTAAGGAACAAAAAACCAAAAGTATTGCATCAAGCACCCAAAATGTCACCAGACAAGATCAAAAGTAATATAAGACCATTTTCAGTAGCTCAGTGTTACACAGAAACACTGTAGAAGGAAAGTGATCTAATGAAATAACTGTACTTTTTTCTCAGTAAATTTAAGCATTAAGACTCAAATCAATATATAAATATGAATATGTGATCAGATATTTAAACTCAAACTTTTGGCACTGAACTGGTTAGGGAAAAAGTAAAAACAATGGTGCAATTAAAGACTGCAATTCAGTTAGAATATTACTTTTTTCTGGAACCACAATTCCACATCTTTTGATTTACATCCCTAAATCCAAAAACAGTCAAGCACTTTGAGAGTGCTTCCTTTAGTAAAGGAAGTTAAACCAAACCTCTAGGAACTTAGTTGTATCAAAAGAATTTAATTAAATAATTAAAAAAATAAAAGCTCATTCCATCCTGTTCTCTCAAAGAACTGTCATGAACTGTCCTGAATCTCCCCTTCTTCCACAGATGAAAGGGATGAGTTTTCATTGTCTGAGTTCTCTGCAGGCTCACTGCCATCTGAGGATATAGAACACAAAAAACAAACAAGCAATTAGTTTCAGCAATGTTGTTTGCTCATCAAACAGAAGCAGTTTCGTATCTTCTTCTCCTTTTAACCACTCTTTTCTTTAGGACAGCTATTTCATAAGACATAACCAGTTTCATGACACAGGATAAAGTCCTGGATAGCACCTCATTGTTGAAGGAGAAAGCAAGAAAATGCTAAGAATTCCTTTTATCTTTTAAATCTTGGTCTTTCAGTCAACTAGCAAAGTAGAATATTTATCCCCCACAAAATTCTAGATCTACTGAGAATTTTAAATTATTCTTTTGGCTTGTTTTAAATGTTGTTTTCTGGCATGTCACAGATATATATCACAACTGTAATGAATTATAAATAATTTACACTTTTCCTAGCATTTCAGTTAAGATGAGGAAATGGAAAATTTAAATTTCACATGTTCTAGCATCCTAAAGATAGTGACAAGCTATGTACACATCCATAAGCTAAGGCTGGTGAAGTTCAAGGTACACAATAACTTGTGCTTTAAGGCACAGCTATTGTGCCCAGCTGAGATCATAAAGTGAAATTCTCATCTCCAAAACTGGTCTTCAGCCTCACACCCCACAGATCCTTCTTTAACAAGCCCTGACCCTGGTCACCTTGTGCTGATGTCATCAAATGCCACTTGGCTGGTGACACTCAAGCAGCACAAAAATAAACTACAGCAAAGCAGGCCCATGAATCACACTCTGCTCCCATTGTTATTTTCAGTATTTGATCTATGAATTTAAAGATGCATTTGAGCATTTAGTATCAGAAGTTTCATTAAGAGAATGTTACCAAAATGGAGCTGATGAAGTATAGCTACTGTCTGGTGAAGATAAGTTCTACAGCTGGCAAACATGGATAATAGACAGGACACAGTGTGCACCTGTACAGTTTCCAAGGAATTTGTTCAAGAAAATAGAAGCATTTCACCCAGAAACATCAGAGGTCACATTTTGTCTATATTAAATCTAGTGTATAATCAATTAACATTTATATGCCAGATATGTACTGAGTAATGCACAAAGTAAGGGCTGTGAAAGCTTCCATAATCCCCTGCTATCTTCAGCCATGACTGACCCTGAAAATCAGAGTATGCTGAAATCAGAGCACCTGTAGGTTTTACTGTTCATCAAGTCAAGCAGCAAAACATCACATAAAAGAATGTGGCAATCCTCTGACTCACAGCAACGCTCAACAGATAGATCTTACTTCTGTTACAGTAATATTTAACAGGAATTATAGATTGTCTTCACTAAAAAAGAGCATACTTGTGTGGTGCTGATAGCAACCCATGTCACCATAAAACTGTCTGCAGTTTACTTATAATGTAAAATTTAAACTCTGAGTTTAAGTTTTTCAGTGGCAGTTTCCTTCCTTAATCTTTATTTTCCTTATGTAGTTGAAAGTTTCAGCCAAAATACTTCAGCCATTTCTGAAAAGAATAATAGGAGGAATAGGCTTTATACTCATGAAATCCTAGCAGTATCTCTCTGAAGGTGTCCACCTCTAGCTATCCCCCACCAGTCCTTGGGGGCTACTACTTGAATCTCAGGGAGAATGGTGATGTTTCCCCAGCATGTGCCTGTTGCTGTGGCCATGAAAACTTGATTTGGTTGTTTCCTGGGGAAGGAGGTAGATCTGAGATTGCTCAGGAAGGAAGCAGTATTTTAGCAATTACATTCCCCCAAGACTCTGCTTCTTGCTCTAGCCTGGGTCCCCTGCAAGCAGGGTCAGCAGGGTTATGGCTGCCTGAGCCCCACGCTCAGCAGACACCCTGCCTCATGTCCACCCCTGGCAGCTGTTTGCCTGGAATGCAAAGGGAGGTCAGCACCAGGCTCCCAGCAGGACAAGTGTCACAAGTGTCCCTCTGGGCATGCCAGCAGGCAGAGGAAAGGCAGCACTGGGGGCAGCAGGATCAGCAGGCTGGATGGCTTGGGAGGAGAGGGCCACTGATACAGAGAGCCATACATGGCAAGGAAACTGGACTGCAGCAAACTCTGAAGATGCTGTAGCATAAAGGTCACTTCTTGGGAGATGGGAAGGGGCTAAAATACTTCTCTGATTACATCAGGCTTCTCCCTGGACAGCCTGGAGGTTAATGTAAGATTTGCACTTTCAGCAAATATCTGTGAATGCAACTGCTAAAGCAAACTGAAAACTGTTTTTCTCCTCCTATGTTCTGTAAAGATGACATACAAAAGAAAAGCACAATGGTTTTGACCCACTAACTAAAACGGTACTCTGTCTTCAGGCAGAGTAACAGCAACAAAAAGTCCTCCAACTTTTATATTCATGTTGTGAACATGCTTTTCCTCAATGAATCTGAAATTACTGTCACATGCTTGTACTCTGAACAGAAAAAATACCAAGAACACAGGTTCCCAACCTAACTCAAGGCCAAAGTTGATTATTAATATCTTAACTAAGAATATGACAGTAAGTTATGATAAAAGTTGTGAAAATCGTAGTATTTTTGCCATTAGCTGTAACTTTTGCTATGTCATACCCAAGACAACTTAACAGGGAGCTATTAAATTTATTTTTATGGAATCTATAGAAACAGTTAAAACAACAACAAAAATCAATGGTTCTCAAAACCTGAAATGGCTGTTGGTGCTCTCAGAACCCCTGCAGGGATGACCACACATGGAATGATTCCTGCAGCAGAGGAAGGTTACTGTCCCCAAGACACACACTTGCACTGCCCTGTGGCAGAGCTGTTGGCACCTCCCAGCTATTACTGGCTCTCTCTTCCCCTGTTCTGCCTTTTACAGAGTCAGGTAGGTGCTGCAGCAGCATGGCCTCAAATTGTTCAATCAACACTTCTTGAATCTGTACCCTTAAAAGGACAACCTCCCTATTAGCTCAGGAGACAATGACAACCCCATACAGATTAAGTACATGAGTCAATCAATTGTAATTCCCTCCTGACCTCTACATCACAGAGGTACAGCTGAGTACTGAAAAGCAAGGCTCCTAGACAAAGAAACAATGGATGAACTCAAAAGCAGCCAGCAGCTTCATGTACTGCAGGGTCTGTATGTGCACTCCCAGGGTGTGGATCCCAGTTACCAGACCTGACCCCAACCTCATCCCCTGGAGTGCTCCCTCACTCTCAGCAGCCCCTGCAGTGCATAACTCAAGGAATTGCTGCATGCCACATATTTGGGTGCAGATTGCTCTCACTTAGGGGATCACTCAGTGTAATCTAGCCAGAACAGCCAAGCTCCATGGAGGTCCACATCACTGGTACAATATTCTCAGTCCCATATTTCATCAGTCACATTACATACATATAGAGCCATGGCTGAGCTGCTGTAGGGAAATAGTAACTGCAAATATATATCAAAGCTTTTCTATAAAAATCTGTAAGAATTAGAGACTGGCCCACCACAGAAAGTTATGGGATATGATAACTAAGGTGACTAGGTGGGGGACTAGGAGATGAGAACTGATTCCCTCTTTCAACAGCTGAAATATCTTTGAGCAATCTTGTAGCTTTAGAAACAGATGCTGGGACATGAAGCCTTTATACTGCGGAGAAAAATGGAAATTAACTTAAAAACTAAAAGCAAATTCCTGCTAGATCTGGATTCTCTTCCAAATAAACTCCAAGGTCAAAGTTCTCCCTCAAGAAAGTAATCTTTAAAAGATAACCCTGTGCTTTTAACCCACTCAAAAAAGTGACTTTGCCATTATGATTTCTAATAACTATCTCACAACTCAGAATTATTTGTCCAATGTTAGAAGCTATGCTAGAAAATAATGGAGAATGATTCCTTTGCATGATTATTAGGTTTATTTAAAATGAATCTTCTCCAGACAGCCTGACTCTTCAAGAATAATCAACTCTGTCAAACTTTGCTACATAAAAAAAGTTAGCACAAGTCTCAATAATTGTTTCACCTTAGTGGCTAAAAATACATAAAAAACCCAGTAAAGCATGAGTAAACAAAGTTAGAAAAACCACATCCAATACAGCTCATGAATGGATGCCATCAGCCAGCAATTTTAAGACAAGAGCATTCATAAGAGATTTTTCTATAGCCTTCTTTAAGCTTCAGAAGTAAATATAAGACATATTGCTCATTCCTGGCAATATCCTTAACTACTGTTTATATAACTAAAATATCCAAGTATAACATAACAGGAAAGAAATATGTGCTCACCTTGGCCAAGGACCACCATGTCATTCTTCAGTGTTTTCAAGACCACAAATAACGTTGGATACTCAATTATTACTTTGCCTTTCAGATTATCTAGAAGGCTTCTGCTGGCATCCAGTTCATTGTACCTTAAAAATAACAGGAAGTTACTTTGGATTTTAATACTAGCAAGGACATAAGGTACATTTGCTGTGGGGGGGGAAAAAAAGAGTAAAAGGCTTTATGGCATTTCACACAATTTTCAGGTGATACCATGTCCAGAAGAACTACTTTATAATTCAAATTACATATTCAACTACATATTTTTTTTAAACCTTCTTATATCTAAGCATAAAGAACAAAAGGAGAATGAAAGTCAAATTTCTCCAAGGGTTGAAATGTTTTATTATGCCTTAATGAATATATTTAGCATGATAAAAGAAATCAGATAAGGACATAGGGCTATCAAAATTGATACATTTATCAAAACCTGATTCTAAATAAAAAATAACATTTAATATTTTACTTATAGGTTTTAACACTAGAGGTTTAATTTACTTGATTAGTAGTGTACCTTATTTATCATGTTTGCTTACCAGTGAAGCCCTAGGAAGATGAAATAAAACTACAAAACCACACGTACACTGGAGCTCTTAGAGCTCTGTTTTTGTAGGAGATATCCATGTTCCGATACAGGAGCATTACAGCAATAACTTCTAAAAGATGGTACAACATCTGCTATGCCAGAGCAAACCTCTGCTCACAGCAGCACCAGTGAGAAGCTCCCTGCAGAAACGCCCACATGTGTGTGCTCCAGAGGCACAGCACTGGATGTGCAGTCCCTGCCCAGGAAAGGGCTCCTCCTCAGCCCAGGCAGTGAGAGCAGGTGCAGAACAAATGATACCACAGTAATGGAGAGCAAACTGAGCATCCTCTCCACAATTATTCTCTCAAACTATAATGCTCTCCCCCAGCTCTTGAGCTACAAACCTGGATGTGGGATTTTGTGGAAAGGAAGGGAAGTATTTCAAAGGCTTCTGCAAGATGGACTTTGTTGCCTTCACTTACCAAAACTGAGGCATCCAAAGGATGCTCTGATATTATTATGCTGCAATCTGAGTTATGCAACTTTCTGTATGCAGCACTATTAAATTATCAGTAAGCCAATGTATCATCTAAGGGCAGATGAAGTTCAAAACCAAAATATACTGTAGGCGGTACATGGGGTATTTCCCATAGCTGCTCTACCTCCTCTGATCATTAACATATTATAAAGTTGTGTTTTCTTTTGCCAAAACCAAAGGGATGGGTGAAGAAAATTATATGCTTCATGATTTACAATAGTGTGTGATTAAAAGCAGTACACTGGGAGTCAGCACACAAGAATACTGGAGGTAAACCAGGAATTGAGTTCCTGGGATTTAAGGGAAACTTAGTTTGAGCAAAAATTCTCTCATTTTCAACTTCAAATCATCATGAAAATATTTGGTTTCATGTTTCTCTCAAGCCAAAGTAATTATGATCTCTTCTTACTGAAACCCTTGAAAAGGGATAACAGTGCATTACATGTCTCATTGAATGAATGCATTCATAAGTTGTGGATTAACACACATGAACAGAAACATATTTACTGCTTTATTTACAGTACTCTAAATGCAAAGTATGGCAATACCTTTCCTTTGGCAAGGACCTCAACACATTCCTTTCTGGTTAAGCAAACATTTACCACCAAGAGGCTAAAGTAATTCACATGCCACAATACACTTTCCATTATCTCATATTTTAGACAAAACATCTTTAGCGTCCAGCTTGGCATAAGATAAAACATTTGTACTTAAAACTATTTTATGATAGTAAATTACTGAAGTGTTAGATCACTGAGTCAGAGCTTTATCTTTTTTTGTTAAAGTAAATTTTATTGGTTGACAGTGACAGTTAAAACATCTAAATTTTTAGTCCATAATGTGAGCCATAAATTTCAGGAAGAATGTAACAAAGGAGCTTAATGCTTCTCTTATTTAAACTTCCCTGTTACTGTATATTATTCAAAAGACCTAACTCTACTACATTTTCTACTTCATACACAAGTGCAAGTTGAGGTTTTCTGCTAATCCACCTGTCAGGCTCTTCCTTGACTGTGCATGCTTAAAAGATCTCAAAATAAAACTATTATTCGTCACATCAATTCCAAAGTCTACTAAAGAACAGCTCTTGAGCAAGATTGATTTTTCAGGTTATCTCAGAATGACCAGGTCATGATAAAAACCTTCCCAATTTCATCCCAGAGCTAGAACAAAGTCATACATAGAGGGTCAGAGGGTGTACAATAGAAATTTTGCCCCTTCTATGGGCAAAAGAAGACTGCCCTGTAGGGTTTAACCAGAAGCCTACACACACACATGCACACACTTCTAATTTTTACTTATGAAAAGGCTAGACCTGTTTAGAGAAAAATGAAATGAAATAGCTTTTTTTACAAGTTTTGTAATTTCCTGTAGTGATTATTCACCAGGATGAGCTGAGGATGTAGAGCAACACTGGCAGAGTAGGCCCTTCCATGTATGTGCAGTAAATTGGTCTCACCACAAGCAGGAGATAGAAGAAGGAGAACATCACAATCAGATATTACCAAATATCCTTTTATCACCACTTTTAGCCACTAGTTTTGTTTTATTGGGATTGCATAGCCTGTGTGAGAAGAACCCATAAGCAGCTGTAGCCTTCTTCAAATCCAGCCCTCACTGTGCACCTCAACTGACAACCCAGTGAAATGAAGAACAACCAGTGTCAGTCCATCCTTTCATTTGGACTCTTCCTTACCCCAGGACCACCTGCATGAACCAACTTAACTGAGACTGTCATCCTAAATGAGCTCCTTCAGCCCCTCATGCCAGGATGGATTTGAGATAAGCCTGGCTCCAAACTTACTGACCACACCAACACCACCATTGCCCTAACACCCATCCTCACCTCTTTCTTTTAACCATCCCCTCTGCTTTCTCTTTACTCCCACTGTCCCATTCATGCAAGTTCTCTGCACTATGGCTTCCTAATCCCTGTATTCAGCAGGATTTCTCTTTGCATGTTCCCTCTCCATCTTCCTTCATTCCTGGTATTTACTTTCCACATATTTTCTTTTTCCCTTCCTTATGTTCCATAAGGCTCCCTGAACAACACCCACTATCTAATAATACACTTTGCTGATTATTTTCTTGCCCCAAGCAAAGCTTTATGCCCATGTTGCAAAGCAATAATTAGGCCTGGACTTTTTCTTTATAAGAAATGACTCCATTTATAAGGACCACAAAGAGATGATCTTAGACAACCGCTTTTGATTTTAGCTGGAATGAAATAACAATAACTGCTTTTTGAAGAACCGAAATTAAGTAGAATTTGCCTGCTAGCAGGCAGTTTAAAAGCCTACAAAAATTGTGACAACTGAGAAAATTTAGCAAGATTCATCAATCCCACATCAGTTCCCATACAAACTGTTATATCTGCTCTATGAAGATTTGCTGCCTTTCACAAAATACTGAAATTAATATGTCTCTGCAGTTCTGATAGCATCTGTGAGTTTCTGCAAAGGCTGGCTTCACTATCTATAGTTATTCCACCACCTTCCAGGAATTCAACAATTCAGTCTCCTAATCTGTCTCCCACAGGCAGGAATGCCACATTAGGTCACTGCATCACAACAAGTTCCCCTCAAATGGAGCCTGTGGCTATAATGGCAGTGGCGTAACTTGTCTCCATGAATTCAGACAGCAGGAAATTCCCTGCTGATCAGGTTTTCCTGAATGTCATCTGCAGGAATTTTTTATTCTTTAATAATAATAACAAAAAAAATCTGCAATCTGGAATTAAAGATAAATTGTAGCCATGTCATTTCTTTAGTTTGGTCTTCTATAGACTGAAAAGAGAACAAACAAGTTTTAGCTATCTAAATAATTGTAAATATTAGCAAAATGTGGATTTGTGTAACGACATTTATGATTTCCCTGTGAGTGATCAACTAAACTGCTTGCACATATTTTACACAAAGATGACTTTTCTTCCTAGAACTGAGTGGAAACATCGAGGTATTTACTTGGCATAACTCAGATACAATAAATCACACTATCTATTTTGGGCCTAGTCCTAAAAATCCACAACCAATCCACAACTAATGAAGAAAAAACGACTTTTTTTCACCAGACTAAAGAGGGTAGCATTTCCTGCGTATCTGCATATGCCTAGAAGGGGGCAAAGACTGGCAAAGAGCATTTAAAGTCTCTCCCAAGCACTCATTCTGAAGTGCTGCAGTATTGCAAAGATAATAACTAACAGATGGACTTTCATTCCTAAGTGGTGAATAACCTCTTCGTGTGGTTATGATTTGGTGAACATCGAAGTAGGGAAATGTTCTCTTGAATTAGGTATGAAAGGAAAACTGTATGGCAGAAAGCAAACACAATGTATTGAAATAATGCACAGTATTTATATTTAACTTTGTCACTAGAATTCTGACATTCTAAAAAACCTAAACCAGGGAATTTGATTAGTCCAGATACATGACAAAATTAGAAAACTCAATGTGCAAAACAGCAGAGATCTTAGAAACAAACAAACACAAAAACCCCTCAAGACTTGCCATGATACTTCCTTTATAACTAACTCTTACCAACAGCAAAACAATATGAAGGAATACTCTACCTGAACACTCTTTTAAGGAAAGAGAATGGGAACCTAGCCCAAGTTGATATTTTAATATGAAAAAAAATACACTACAGTTTACAGAAGTATTTAAAATCTGTCAGCTTCTCCTTTCACTCTTGGTTTCACATTTCTTTTCCTGGTCTAGGACCTCCATAATTTGCCTCAAAAGAAGTTCATTAACCTCTCCTCCATACTACTGATACCTGAATAACTTAGTCAATACCAGTATAGACCAGATGCCTGGCCAAACCCTTCAAATCCCTATCCCAAGCAACACTTCCATCAAAAATGTGCTTTTTCTGGGGAGAAAAAAAAGAAAATTAGGACAAGGAATGTTCTCTTATCAACCATTTGGACTACAACTCCTGCTAGAAACCAACCAAAAAATACAGGAAGAAAAGTTGCCAGCATAACAGGAAAGCATTTTGGACATCATCACCATTTCCTAACTACA